AGGGTGCGGATAAATGACTAGAGAATCCCACCGAGTGTCTGGACAGTGTGTGAGCGTTACATTTAGCGGTGCCCACGTCGGGCTCGGCCTCCCAGAGGATAATGACTCGAGGTTGTCTGCTCCGTCTCCGCGGGCTCTGTGGGATCCTCCCCTCATTTGCCATCAAACGCACGCATGTACACACACACACACACACACACGCATGACGACGGCAGCACAGCGCAGCAGGAAGACGTCTGCGATACGCGGGCCTGTCCACTGACCCGCTGTGACACTGATCAAAACACATCACAGTCGCTTCTGTGGAAAGACAAACAGGAACGGGACCGAATTCCGTCCAATTAAGTCATCGCTCGCTCATTTAAAAGCTCACAAATTAACAGTCTTCATTTGCTCGCTTTCTACAGTCACGGACCTCCTTGTTTTACTTCCTTTTAACTCTTCACCTAAATAAGAAGTTGCCAAAATTATGAAAGGTTAGAACGGATATTCACAGCACAGAGGACATCAGCTCTGCTTATGGACAACATGAACCCAGAAAGAAAAGAAAAATTCCTCAAAGCTCACAGGACGCAAACTTTTCTTTAAGATGCACTCATTTAATATGCATTAGAGCGAGGAGAAGGAGATGATGTTTGTTAAACGGACACAGCATCAACATTTCCCTCCAATTTGCTGGACTCCAAACATTTTAAATAATTAAATGTGAATTAAAAACACTTTTGCCTCAGCTTTAACTTTATAAGGCCAGAAAGGAAAAAGGTGATGAAGTGCTCGGTGTTGCATCGAAGTTCACAGGAAAGGTCGATGGATTTTCAGGAACCGATTGTTGATTTCTAGATAAGTACTGATATCTTAGAAAGACTAAATTAAAAGCTTCGGTTAAGGCGAAGAAGAAGAAACCCTTCTGTTATAATTGGTCACACACACTTTTCCAGAGTAAATAAAAACATGCTTCTGATCCCTCTTGCTATGCTAGCAGCTAGCTCGGTAGCCTCTTTCTGAACTAAGCTGTTACTGGCTAGTTAACGGATTTGATCTCCAAACTGAATCGTTAGCTTGGAATACTACAGGATTATTCTATGTATGCAATTACAACCTTGACATTTAAAGCAGTCGAGGCCTAGCGGCTGCTTGTCTGATCTGTCCACCCATACCGTCGCTATCACACAGTGGAAAATGTTAGCAGTCATTTAGGGGCTATATTTAGCATGAGCATTTACAGATGAGATGAAGTTAGAGATACTCTGTCGATGCTACTACACGTAGAAGACCACAATAACTGATAGTTAGGTTATGAAATATAGTATTGTTTAAAAGTTGTAGATCAACACTGCAGCAGTGAATGTTTGTGTCGAAGCTCGTTGAGTTCAATCTGAGACCAAAAGTCAGAAAATCCACCAAATGGGGCAATTCCACTGAAAAGAAAACACGTCTTCTCAATAAAGTGGATCCAGAAAACACAACTTCATAAATCTCACTAATAAATACAGAAACCTTCATCCGTTTAACATTTCTTCTTTAACATTTCATACCTACAATGGATTTGTATTGATCCATATTTTAATTCCTCCTGGTCAAAAAGAGCATTTTAAAACAACATCAACAACATCATTCTTCATCATTCACAATATAATCTGCGGATATCTACACGTTAATTTTGAATCAGTTTTGGACATCTTTAATTTTTCTTAACTGAAGTTACCTACATTGTGCTCCATCGATATCTTCAATTAGGTTTTAACTATTTAAACTGATGCTGAAGAAATGTCAAACTAGAATTCTTGTTTAGTCAAAATGTAGTTCTAGATATCCTGATTGGACTTTTGACGAGGCAAAATGACGTTGCAGACAAAATCAAGCTTGCTTTTCAAATGTATTATGGCAACAGCAACCAAGATGGCGATATGGAAATTTCTTTTATCACCATTTCAGGAGGCGAAAGCTTGAAATTTCTACCACAGGAATCTAATGAACGAAGCTCATGTACGACCTCATCCACCCCAACAACCACCAGTACTTCTCCTAAATACTTTGCTGGCCCAGTAGCCCATGGAAAGCCTTGCACGAGGCTCATACACAACAGTTCCAACTAGTCTTAAGTACGGCTGAGATATCCGCAACTATTAGTTGAGTCGAAACTGCATTACAGATGTATATAACTGTTGTTTCATTTAGTCAAAATTACATCAGTAATTTTAAACTCAGCAGCTAAATAGTAAAACGGTTCGCCGTGTATGCGTGCCCGTCTGTTCGTCCAATATCTTGACAACCAAACATCCGTTCTACTTCAAACTTGGGGGACGTATTACAAGAGATCCAATAAAGTGCAAATTCAAAGTAGATTGGATAAACAATAGCTGTTTTTTGGGCCCCTTGGTCGCACCCAAACCTAAGTAGCCCCAGTTGCTGGGCAACATCATCAGCAGCAATGTCACTGTCGAGAATCCAGTCTTATGTCAAAGTCTTGAAGGAAGCTTTCTGCAAACTGTCTGTCTGTAAACAACTAATTTAACCACTGACAGCAGGCACTTCGCTAATAAGTATTGATCACTGAATACTCATTCTGTACAGAAAGGTTGTTTTTTTGCCCTAAGATATAAAAAAAAAAAGCACAGCATTAACTAAACATGTGACTTTGCTGAGGGCTTTTTCGGTGTTTCTATGCGATTACACTAAATAATTTCGCAACCCATGCAGCTTCTGCTCCACGGGAAGAAAAAAAAAAAGTTATCAGTGATAACCAAAGTAACTGTGACAGCTTTTAAAGACACAAAATGGAGGAAGAACTTTATAAACTTTCAAATTGACGGGGTGAAAGTCAGGGAGATGCCTCGGGGGCCAATCAAGAGGAAAGACCTTGATGTGTAGGTTAAAGCAGGCTGCAGCAGTGTAGCAAGCTATTCACGCACCACAAAACCACACACACACACACACACACGCATTGTGTATGATCTGCTGTAGTCTTTTAAAGACTGTCTTCAAAGAATCTTCTCTTCACTCCTCGTTATCTCACACCAGCTAATATGAGGAAGAAACTTTCTCACACACACATATACACACACACACAATCCACGCCAGTCCTTGTAAGGTCATTCAGTTCTCATAAGTGTACAAATGTAAGAAGACAAACATCCCTGTGTGTGTATATAAATCTGTGTTTGTGTCTGCACGGTGTCAAACAAGGCGCGCACAAAGCTTCGGATGCTACTGAGAGTGCACACACACACACCAGCACAATGGCACAGGAATCAGTGTTTAGCAAGCTGATTATCACATGTTGTATTACTGTATTCCAGGGGAAGCCTCGGTGCCCCTGAGCCATGCAAAGAAGATGTGAGCAGAGACAGTATGAGGCAGAGTAATACGCCGCTCGGGTGCATGATGAGCAGCTATACCTTCAAACGCCTCTACTGCACAAACTTTGGAAGTGCAAGCTTCCAGTGTTCTGTCCTCAAGCTTCCCCTCCTCCTCCTCCTCCTCCTCCTCCTCCTCGCATATTCTAACGTTCTCTGAATTCGTAACTGCTGCAGCGTTGCACGCAGGAGCTCGTCTTTGCTTTTGAATAATACAACAGCAGGTCCAATTGAGTATTAGGGAATGCAGAAAAAGTAAAGTACAAAGGCTAAATTTTACTGAGTGCATGCATAAGTAGTGGTTCTTGGGTAAAATACAAGAAGAAGACAAAAATACAAAATCTCTTGACTTAGTAAATACATAGTTTATAACCCAAATTGACTCTTCAAAGACAAAAACAATTCAAAAATAATAAAAAAAATAATAAAAATGCAGATTGTTAATTCAGCTTTAAACTTTTCTCTGGTTAAAACAGAGAAAAGTTATCAAATAAGTTGTTAAAACATATTGTGAGAGTTTCTTTTCTTCCCTTTTACGCCGTTTCCAGAGTTTTGACAGCAGTCAGATGCTGTAAATTTAAAATCTCACTTTGCAGATACAGTGGGACCAGGTAGAGTGAAATCTGTTGCATTAAGGCTGATAACTGTATCGCCGGCATCATGCACAGCGTGTCCTCATCTCTACTGTGAAGAGAGACTGTGTTAAGAGATCATCTAAACACAACAAAATCTTAATATTACATAATCCCATTTATAGCGTCTACCCTTGTAGAATTCTAATGATCAGACTGCAGACATTATTGCTGCATCTGACTCGATGACCCTCCTCTTGTTTACTTGAAATCAAGTGAACTGCTTGCATTAGTTTTTCTTCGGCTCCACATATCAATTCCACCATCGTATAAAGAAAATATCAAGAGAGTGATATTTTGGTTTTTCTTTAAATTATTTTCGACCTCAAATTAGAACCAAACGGACGAAGGATGCAGCGACAAGGTGAACTACGATCTAAGACTTATTTTAAAAACTGTGTTTGTGTTTGAAAAGGTGTCATTTTCAGTGCCGTTAGGAAAACAAGTTGGCTGCACTGGAGAACTTGTATTTCGTACTTTTACATCAGACAGTCACTCTGAAAGACATTTTTTAATGACAAGACTTCTCTGTGTAAAACGGTAAAGTGACAGCACTCAAAATCCTATCAATCTGATTTTTTTTTTTTAAAGCTTCTTTTTAGTCTTTAACTCCCCCAGAATAATCTCAACAACATCAGAAAAAAAAAAAGGGAGAATTTCTTTCTTTTACATCAGAAAGAGTGCTGCTCTAAAAAAAATAAAAAAAATAACAACACGTCTCTCTACGGGAAACTTCAAAAGCCACCGCTCAGACTGGAGTCTTACGTCCCAAACTTCCCCAAAATCCTTGGTTATTTGAAGGGACACGTGAAGCAGGCTGGCACGCTTTTATCACTTTTGCTAGAAAGTTATTATCAAAGCTGCCTTTAGAAATGAATCTTCATAATTTCGAGGTAAAATCCAGGATTTCTGTGAGTGTGCTGACACAACATTTCCAATCTGTGATAGCAGCTTTGTTTCAGGTATTTAACCATTTATATCTTACTCATATTTTAAATCCCATTCCGCTCACCTTCTTTGCAGCGTTGATGCACTGCATGTATTCTTTGGCCAGGTCGGCACACTTTAAGGTCTGGTCACTGTTCTCCTTGTAACACGTTAGAATCTGACCCTGCAGGCCAGGACACACCGCGTCCGTGTTACGAGACCTGCAAAAGACAGACAGAGAAAGATTATAAATTGAGTGAAAAACAGTAACATTCACTCCCCTCTTTCACACTGATAGTGTGAATTTGGGTTTGTGGGGGGAAAAGGACAGTAAAACAATTCATCAGGTAATGGGCTTCAGAATCAACACCTTGAAGTCCGTGTTGTGTGCCTCAAACCATTCCTGAACAATGTCTGCAGTGCGGCTGGGAGCATGTTCCTGCCACTACTATCGGGGAATAGTTTCATCATGACGGTGTGTATGTGGTCTGCAATGCCACATGAATGCATGACCCAAGATTTCCCAGCCAGCACAGCACTGCTCAGAGCATCAAACTGCTGTCGCCTGCTTTCCTTCTTCCTGCAGTGCATCCTGCAGCCATCTCCTCTGTGGCTAAACAACACACACACACACCCCTAGGAGTCCATGTGATGTAAAAAGAAAAAGTGATTTATCAAACCAGGCTACCTTCTCAAATCCTGAGCCTCACCGGCCCATCGGTGGTGTTTTCAGTGGACTAGGGTCAGCGTGGACGACCGGTCTGCAGCCACACAGCAAAATACGCAAACTACCACGAACTGTGCCTTCTGATAGCAACAGGTTCTATCAAAGTTTTCAGCAGTCGGTGCTACAGTAGCTCTTGAGTGTGAACCGTCGATGCCCCTCACATCCATGTGGCCTGGGTGCACATCACCCCATCGCTGGTTCATCTGCTCTTCTTCTATGGACCAGTGTAGTCAGTGCTGACCTACATACGGTGAACAGCCCACAACACCTGCTGTGTTACAGACCTAGTCATCTCTGGTTCTTGTCAAAGTTGCTTGGATCGTAACGTTGCCTATTTATCCTGCTTCCAGAATGTTAAGTTTAAGAACTGACTGTTTGCTTGCTACCTAACACATCCCATGACTCTACTGGTGTAATTAGATACTGAGTGTAGCTCCTCTCACCTGTCAGTGGCATTAATGTATTGGCTGTGCAGTATATATTAGTAGTCGTAGGATATCAGACGCAATAAATACATATAATTAATTAGAGGCTTTATAATTAATTCATCTTGATTAACTGCATTTTTTGTTGAATAGCAGCATTTGACACAAACAATTCAAATAAATGTTGGTTGACGACTGAATCAATGAATGTTGAAATGAAATGAAATGAAAAATACTTTATTTATCGCAGAAGGGAAATTCAATTAAATAATTAATAAATTAAATATTAACAAATGTTCATCTTTCCTCTATATTCATCTGTGCATTTTCTGTGCAGTTTACTACATTCAAGACATCAGTGCAAATTTAAAGTGCAATTATAGCGATTATATTTAACATTTTAAGACTTTTTGACTTAAAACTTTTTGTTGTTGTTTGTCTTCCATCACCGTCACCAAACTTTCTTGCGCGCTGACGTCACTCAATGCATCCTGTGCGTCGTCTTTGCAGCCGGGAACTGAACTTTAGGAGCATTTCCGCCTCCTTCCTGGCTGGAGTGTGTGCATCAGTGTTACCGGTGTGCCAGCAATTAGAGAAAGATGCATTATTTTTTTCTTTTTCTGTAATTAATCAATCGAAATTGACATGTTAAAGTCCCAGCCCTGCTGTATTTATATATATGTGAAAGTTAACAAGAAGATCTCTGGCAGGGAATTATCATCTAACTAGCTGCATACCAACCACGTAACCGTTGTTTTTTACCATTTTTTGTTCCCTGTCACCACTCTCATTATGTTGCTTTTTACTGCGGCAGACTGAATTTTCCAGCAGAAAACCTCTAATAACCCACTGAGCGCTAGATAGTTAGGCTCTAGTTGGTAAACATCGTGGAACGAGTTGGTGGAGACCACAAACGGTCTATGCAGCTAAACATTAGACATACTTTTATCGTCTGGCAAGGTAATCATACGTTGTTGTTTGTTTCATCAGGTTTATCGTGTTGCTATCTCGCAAGGCAATTCATAACAGCAGGACTGACCTTGTGCTTATGAAGAAATGCACACTATTGTGAGAATACTGAAGTTTCCTATTCAGCTGTTTGAACTATTGGATTTTTGTTTTCGTGGTTTCTATGAGGCAGTCGTAACAAAACACTGAATCATATTTGAGGAGTTTTTTTAGTCTGGTGATAATAGTAAAACTTCCCCCATCCTTTACATGTATTTTAGCCACAACAGAACAAAAGAAACAAAACAGAAAAAGTAGAAAGAAAAAAAACCATTCCAAAGAATGAAGCGGTCTGATTAAATGAGACAAGACAAAGATGAAAAAATAAAAAAAATCCCACCTACACGCAGCACAACCTGTTCAACAACATAAGGGGTGTATTGTACGTGCCTCATCGCAAATCATACAATTAGGGCTAAATCACACTTAATTGAGTGGGTAGGATCATTCTGATCAAATATAGCAGAAAAGTGTGCTTTGAGAGATTGAATTAGTCGAGCTTAATTTGATATGTGGGCTGTATTATAATTGGTCTTTGCCTGCCTATCTGTGTGATTGTTAACTATGACAAGCTTGCTGCCTGGGCGCCTCACTGTAATGGATTCTGACTGATTGAAGCAGAGACAAGCAAGTTATGTACGCCCACGCAGGTATAGACAGGCACGTGCACGAATGCTCGCTCGCACACACTTTGTAGTACACTGTAAACATCACAGAGCAGCACACGCATGCCAGCACGTCGATCTGCCCTCCCTGCACACGCACTTTCTCTACGAGGAGCATTTAACACCGGATTTAATTGAAAGCCAAATTAAAGGCTCTTTTTGGCTTCGACCCACGGAGGAGAGATGACCCTGTCGTTTCAATTACGGCATATCCATATCCACGCGGGCAGACGCACATTATCGCCGGTGAAAGTATCGCGGATGCAGCGACTGACTTTATCTGAGCATGGGTAATAGAGGTTAAAGAGGGAAAAACGAACAGAGACGGAGAAAAAAAAAAAACATAAAGGAAGGAAAGGGATGAAAACAATGAAAGGGATTGAATGAATCATCCATTGCTGTTCTCCCGTTTTAAAAAAAAAGATGACGGCCTATCAGATTACTCTGTTCCCCTCAACAACCTCCAACGGTTATCACGCCTGTTTAATCTATCTTCTTCCACTTTTTTTTGTCTTCTCTCCAACTCTTCACCCTCCTCCACCACCACCACATTAACAACATAGAGAGTACGACACCAAAGCACGCCATCTTTATCTCCCTCTCCGTTTGAGGCCGCCAAAGATAAGGAACTCTCCTTTAATTTGAAATAAATGGGCTTCATCAGGGAAGCCAAAGCCTCCTGATAGTGCTACGTGGTTTATTAAAGGCGCTTGAAGCAGAAAATTGGTTCAGCGGCGGCAAAAGCTAAAGCTCTGTCCACATGCTACACCCAATTGAAGGTGAGGTCTTAAATCAACAATATTAACTGAGCCGCTTATGGAAAATAAATAAAAATAGAGAAACGGAAGGGGGGATGAGGTAAAGAAGCATCCCCGACAGCCCGTTGAGCCATGCAGGGGGCTGCCGCCGCTAACGGGCGTGTGCTGCGAAGGCAATGTGTGTGGAAGCAGTGATTTTTTGGGGGAGTTCTCCACGCATCTGTGACCGGCAAATACGACAAAACATAAACAATAAGATTAGTTGCTTAATTAATGGTGCTGCCCATTATTTTTAATCTCCGACAGCGAAGGCAGACGCGGGCGGAACACAGAGGACTCAGACTTGTGGACCACGCAGCTTACCAAGACAAAGAGAGGGAGAGAAATGAAAGGGGAGAAATTGGAAAATGGAAAAGACACAGGAAAAAAAAAAAACTACAAAAGCCTCTGGCAAAGCTACAAGACTGATAAGAGAGATGCTTTTATCGCCCCTAAACCATGCTTCTCTTAGCGTTAAGAGTGATGTTTTTGTGTTTTCCTTAATGGCTTTGGCTAAACATATGAAGCATTGTTTGTCCTATGTGCCATTTTATTTCCGTCCTGTCAGCTACAAAGTATTGGTATCTCTAAAGTGTTTTTCGGGCGAGTAATTAGAAAATCTCGTAACATCTCACAAGGAGTGGAGCCCAAAGAGGAAAAAATGAAGAGAATCCAATAATGTGACTTCGTTGGGAGCTGGTTTGAGGAACATCTTGAACGTGAGCCAACACACACACACAGCATACTTTATGTTCAAGTTTTGGTTTGTCGTGCCAATGTTGTACATTTCCATAGTGCGTAGGGGTCTGCTGCATATTTCAATGTTAGCAGTGTTAAATTATTACAGAAGCGTTGTGCAGGGCAATTCGTACGGCCCTTTAGATGGCAGCAAAATAGCCGTCTACCTGTAATTTGTGCCACTGAGGTCACATTTGGTCAAAGGGGAAGAAAGTCCAAGCAAAGAAACACTATTATTGACTCAAATCTCCGTATTTTTTTTGCGTCAAAACAAATTCAAAAGAAATCTAATGATAAATTGCAATACAACTAAATGATAATATGCCGCTGAATCTAAGCTAATTTAATTAACTCAACATTTTCAAGTGCACTGCAGAACTAAAACAATGAACGGCAATGTCGCTGTTATCAGGTTGAGCTTTTAAAACACATAATAGTAATTTGTTCCTAGCCGAGTGATTGTTGGGACAGATTTATCAATTTGTCTGAAATGTTAATTTGCAATCCAGCCACATGTCACTGCTGAGATGAATTCCAGGTAGCTCTGTTTTACAGGACTTTTTTTTTCTTCCAGTCAATTCACAACAACACACGTCATCTTGTAGCACATACCGTGGTAAAAACCTTACAAATTTTAAACTGAGAAATCGAACAAAGCGCTTGGCAACAGTAGAAAGGAACAAAACAACCCTCCTCTTTAGCGGGAAGGACAAGAAGCTCGGCACTTTTGACTCTCTTAGTTCAACTTTGTTATTTACACGACACAAAATAAAGCTAAATGGAGTATTGTCGTTACCAGAGCAATAAAACTGACAACATGTGAAGTTTATGTGTGCATCAAAACTGGAAAGAAAAAAAAAG